GGTCCTGTTCTGCCCCCATCCAGGTGCTTCCTGCGACCTTCTCTAGATCGTCAGTCCATTCACACTAAGTTCAACACAGCACGTCTTTAATAAAAATTTAAAAGCGAAAGGTCACTGATTGACACACTTATCACGAAATCTCAGAAACTACAAGTGCTAGGAGTCTCAATTTTTGCATGGCGGTTCCTTTTAGAAGCAAAATTCAACCCCTAAGAGGGTAGAACATTGGGTAGAACGGGGTCCATGCGTACGAAGTCGTGGACAGCCGCTAGTATGGATATAAATACCTCTGACACACATAGGCAAGCACGACAAACAAGGGCACAGGATGGAGGGGAAACAACATAGTCTCGGCACACACAGACAAAAACACATGGAAACACATTTGTTGATTGGAAATACTTATTTTTATGTTAAGTCCAACATTCTGATTGTAAGGTGTTCAAAGTTTTGCTGTTGTGACGGGTTCATGATGCAGACTCGTTGACAGTTTGTTTTTTTATATTAAGCAAGCAGGTTAACATTGTGTTCTGTCGTCTATGACGTGGCTAGAACTGCTTGAGCTTAGATTCTTTTAAAACATTTGCCGTTAGCCTCAACCGAACTTTCTAAGGCTCTGGTAATTTGAGAAACTTGTCTTCGATTGAATATATCACTGAGTTTTGTCTGTATTGTAGTAGGCAGATACAAAACCACCATAATCCATGTATTTTGCAGTTATTTTGTAGAAATTCCACCTAAATCATACACCTCACTGCATTAAGAAAACAAACCGAGTTGCGAAAACATTTTAAGGATTCTTCCGTTACGCGAACGCTAAGAAAATGTCTGAAAACAAAAGTGTTGCCATAATAAAAGTGTTGCCATTGTAAAATAAAAACTGCTCATACTGCCGGACAGCTCTCAAAGAAGCGATGCGCGAACTTGTTATTAGAAAAGAGCAGTTGTATTTACCCTCTCTCTGGGGAGGTGGTGTGATCACAATAAAGAGGGATAAAGAAGGCTTACCTCATTAATGTATTAGGCTGGGTTGCACCAATTTACTTTAACTATAGAAAAATAAAAGTTCAATTCCCTATAGTTTGTTGGTCTCCAATTTTAACAAACATTATTTCAGATTACTTACTGATGATATTGACCTACTATCACTGTCTCTTTCTAATGCTGGTTTCTTTCGTATTGCTATTTATAATAGCTGAAGATGATGATACTTTAAGTGGAAAATATTTCTTGAAGGCAATTAACCGTCTGTCTCCCCATGTGTCAGGTAGCTATTGACTGGATAATTGAGGGTCGTTATTCGGAGGCACTCAGTCACTCCCTGAAAGCCAGGAGACTTACGCATTAGTAGGTTGACGTAATGAGAGCTATCGTATTTGCCCTCATCAGTTGCCGCCACTCTGTAGAGTACACGCTCAAATCAAATCAATTTTTTTAGTTATGCAAGTAGGCTCCCAAAAAGCACTTTTACACGTCCCAATCCTACCACTGCCTCGGGACAGTAACATGGGCCAATGCTGAGGAGCAGCGCAAGAAACTCAGTCACTATTGTCCGCCTGAAGCAGTAGGAGGACTATAAATTTTGCACTCACAAGATGATGCAATGATGAAAGATGAGGAATGGCGACGGATTGTGAGACTTGCCACCGGACCTGGTGTGACGACCACGACCACTCTGGCAAGAGTGTAGTGACGAAGAATATGATGACACTGTAAAGTAAGGTTCGCTACTCGTCAGTGGTGCCAACTGTTTAGTATAAACACGAGAGCCCTCATTTAGTGGAGAAACCAGTCTATTGGTACAAAAGCTTTCACAAAACCTTCTGAAGCTAAGCTTTAGTGCAAGCTTAGAGTTGACGCCTCCAGCTCTGTTGGTACGGTTTAATTTCCCACAAGGATGGCTCGCTGCGGGCCAGTGATGGGAAGAACTGTTAACGATAGAAGTGAATGGTGCACTTTTAAAAACACAGTAGTGTGTACACTTTCAGTGTATTGTAAGCAATCTTTTTAATGTTACCTGTGACCATTTGTAGCGACTAGAGTGGCCTCGAGAGTTTTAGACGATTTAAAAAAGGTACTTGGGATTCTTCAATTGCAATAGCAATAAAGATTAGATTTTTTTATGCAGAACAAGGCAGGCACCTGATGTTAAGTGAGACACCGGCAGACAGTGGTGACTGAGTTTGTTGCGGCGCTTCTTCTCAGCACTTGCCAAATGTTTGTCTCGAAGCGCTGGTAGGGCAAAAAAAGAATGAGACATGTATAGGCTCCTTAAGAGCATTTGACGATTTGCAAGAACTAATTTAATTAGTCTAAACAAATAAAGATAATTTTGATTTTGATTTTGATTTTGAGATGCAGTCTAGGATGGACACATACCTGCCCTGGAAGTGCCTATTCTCTCTCGAGCTATCAAGGCCCGGATTACAGTTTCCGGTAAAGAAAACAGCGAAATCCAGTCCTTAGCTGTTCACATTTTAAATGCTTCTTTTCTCGATATCGACAAACGGCAAAAAGGTGTCTATCGATAAAAACGCTGCCCATCCCTAAACCAGTCTTTACTCTAACCACGTTAAACACAGTATTTAATTCATAAGGGCTGACTTTCAGAGCTTCTTCTTTGCCCGTGAGTTGTGCCTGAAACTTTTTAGTTATGTTTGCTAACGAACTTAAGTGAATGCTCACGCTTTACACGGAAACTCTAATTATTTTAAGTAAATACTCTATTAGTGTAACAACCATACAGGGTGGCCCAGTGAAAAATGCACTTTTGAAACTTCAAGGAAAAAGGTATAGTAATTTCGTAGATGGTAGAACTTTATTTATTACAATTCAAAGAAACTTAAGAGCAGAGTATACTCCAACAACTATGCAACAACTAAACCTGAAGATTCGGCAAGAAATGGAATCCATTTCCAGGTAACTCTAACGAAAGTTTTCCATCTAATGCTAGATCTAGATTAGTAGACGTTGTAACCGTCAAGGAAATCACTCGGACGATGTAATTTTTGAAAAATAATTTAATTTTCTTCAAATTGTAATAAAGTTGTAACAATGTTATACCGTTTTCGTTTCCTTGAATTTTCAAAAGTGTCAGCATTTATTAATATTAAGTAACTATGTCTGTCTGTAACCTTTTCTACTGATCCAATATAAATGAAATTTTGTATAGAGATAGTTTGGGATCCAGGAAAAAACGTAAAATAGTTTTATGCCGGTTTTATTTACAGGAAGAGGCACGCGATGTTCTTATGTGAAAGAACAATATTCACGCGGTCGAAGCCACAGATAGATGAGATACAGATAATAGCTTGTATTTTATAGTGACAGTGTTAAATTGTAGCTAAATAATTTCAATGTATTTTAAGTAGGGCTTTTAGCAGTAGCATTACAGTTATTCAGTGCAGTCCGTTTTCAGGAATATCTACAGCATTACACTCAAGCCGCCTTGAAGTTCGCGTGCATTCGCTTGTGTTAGGGTGCAACCACACTGTAGCGAACCTGTGTAATGTAACGCGTTTGTGTCAGAATCTTTTGAAGGAGGAACTTTTTTTTATGCATAACAAGGCAGGTATTTGACCACAGTCGCACCTGATGTTAAGTTGGATGCAGTCTAGGATTGTACATATCTGCCCTGTAAGTGCTTATTCACTTTCGCCTTGAAGAGGCCCGGATCATAGTTTTCGGGAAAGACAGCAGCAGGCAACGAATTCCAGTCCCTAGCTGTTCGCATTATAAAAGAGTCATCGAACTTCTGATTCGTTCGTTCGTTTCAGCCGAAAGTCGTTCACTGCTGGACAAAGGCCTTTTTTTGCGCTCGCATCTTTTTCGCATCTTTCGCATTGATCAAATTCTAAAAATAATTAAGAGTAACCGAATAGTCTTTCTTTTCCATATCTGTATTATTAACAGACAATTAATGTAGGTAATTGGAGTAAAAAGGAAAATAAACTAGTCAGTAAAATTAATTCAATAGAAGCTGTATTATTACCACCTTGATTTACTAAGTAAAGTAAGCCCTTTATGAACAAAATCGTGACTAAGTTTCTTGCGCTGCTTCTTCTCAGCACTGGAAAATTAGTGGTAGGGTTAATACTGGGACATGTAAAAGTGCTTTTCAAAAGCCTTGAAAAAAAAGAGTTTTAGGAGGTTTTACCCGTCTGTGGCAGAAGGAGTTTGTTTATGAGTTTTAATCAGAGATAGTTAAACACTAACCTCCTTATTAATAAAAGTTACAACCTAGTTGAACTCTGGCTTCAATTTTATTTTATTTTATTTATTTATTAGGTACTAGCTGACCCGGCGAACTTCGTACCGCCTTAGCGTAGAGATTTTCTTAATATTTTTTTCCGTAAGAACCATCCTTGGACTTCCACAAACATTTAAAAAAAAGAATTATCGAAATCGGTTCAGCCGTTCACACGTGATGCCGTGACAACGCGAAACGGGTTTCATTTTTATATATATAGACTAGCTTTGGTCGCCCGCTACGCGGGCTACAAAAGCTAGATCTGCGATGCTGGCCGCTCCGGGCTTCGCCCTACGCGGCGCTCGGCCTGCGGCCTCGCATTCGGAGCTCGGCCTTCGGCCTCGCAAAAATTACACGGGGCGTTTATCGTTTGTCGCAAGGCTCTTTTGCTTTTTTGACGCAACACAAGTAAATCTATGGCGACTGTGGGGATTTGAACCATCGCTCGGCCTTCGGCCTCGCCTTTCTGTCTGTCACTGGGCTCTAGTCCTTTTTTGACGCATCAAAAATAAATCTATGGCGACTCACAGGCTTAAAACTGTCGCTCGGCCTTCGGCCTCGCCTTTTTCTACGTTATCCAAGCCCCCCTGCATATAATTTGTATGGAGAATTTAGTCCCTTTAGGAAAACGGGTGAACGCTTGGCGGCCATCTTGGATTTCCAAAATTTTGCATTTTTGCCTTAATCTGGACCATTTTCCGCGCCGAACCCCATTTTTACTTTTTTTCTTTTCCAGACCCATCCGTGTCAAATAATGATCCATCGGTTTCCATATCGGTTAAATTATTAGAAATCGTAACAAAATTGGACGCCTGGGGGACTACGCCTCCCCCAGGGTCGTCAGGTTCACACATCACGAAAAAATCAAAATGCAATGACTTACCGAATAACTGATGAAATTACACAAGAACTACGTAAATACAGATAAAAAGTAACAAAATATATACAATACACCACTTATTTGATCCTTATTTCAAATTAAATTTACAAAAGCCAAAAAAAGACGCCTACTCAGTTCACCGTTTCCCGCGCTTTTGTCAATTAATGTCAATGTCAAACAAGTTTAACCACAGACAATAAACTAAATCATTAACCACAGATCTAAAATCTAATCATTAAATGACACAGTTAGTACGTACGCACGTAACAGATATAAGTACAATATCATGTGAAATAATTATAAAAACAATAACTGTCATATTTTAGAATTGTCTATGGTTAGTTAGGTACACGTCATTTCGTTTTTGTTGAGGTTATCACTAAAAATCGAAAATGAAATTCTATTTAATTTTAGGTGTATTTCTATTTTTCTCAGCAGCATTAGCTGAGCAAGAAACTCTAGTTTTAGTAGATAACCTTAATATAAGGGAAACCCATTCACAATTCTTCAAATCTCTTCAGGGTAAGTCGAAGATTATTGATTATGTTTAGCTGCGAAGCCGGTCCTGATACACGGCAATGTACTAATTGGAATAGTGGTCTAACAGATGCAATTCCTATTGGCAATATTATGAACATAAAATAATTATAAATTACAGATCGAGGCTACACCCTTACGTACAAATTGGCCGACGATGCTAACTTGGTGCTCTCTAAGTACGGCGAATACTTGTACAAGAACTTGATAATATTCGCACCGTCCGTGCTGGAGTTCGGCGGTCTGATCGACACCGAGGCGATCACCAAGTTCATAGACGATGGAGGCAACCTGCTCATGGCCGGCAACGCCGCTGCCGGTGACGTGTACCGGGAGATAGCATCAGAATGTGGCTTTGAGGTAACAATTTTTTAAACACATTTTGTGATCATTTCAATAGATTACTTAACCTATCAGTACCCCTTTAAATGGCAGTGGGAATTTATTTCCCACCATATTTTGAACCTTACTTGGTTGTTTTAAGGTCCAAAAATATTGAATTTTTTATTGTTATAAATGTTAAAGGGTTAATGATGCTATTGTTTTTGGAATGTTTGTTAATAACATCATAGTGTCTCTTTTTTACTGGAAAAATTAAAAATTAATAAGATTTGTTCATTATTACAAGTTACTACATTAGGTACTACATGTTCATTTTCATTTACTTCAGATGGATGAGGAATCTGCAGCTGTCATTGACCACTTCAACTACGATGCCAGTGATGATGGTGACCACACCAGGATTGTGGTGTCTCCTAAGAACCTGATCAATGCCCCAACCATTGTGGGAGCCCAGAACACACAGCCCCTACTGTTTGAGGGTACTGGCCTCATCCTAGACAAGGACAACAGCCTGGTTCTCCCAATCCTGACTGCTGACAGCACTGCATATAGCTACAATCCTAAGAGCCAGGTAATACAGTTTTGTAATTTTATTTACTTATTATGAAAATGACTACAGTAGAACGCCGATTATCCGAACGCCGATTAACCGAATCGCCAATTATCCGAATCGGTCCTAAGCGTAATATAAAAAATTGAAACCAAGTAATTTTTGTTTTGTTGTATTGTAACAAGTTGGAACTCACAGGAGTCTAGATATTTTTCAACTGAGCGTTATTGTAGAACTCTAAACACAGTTAATAAAGTATATTCTATGTGTGTCAGTTCGTTTTTAACTCGTTTTTTCTTTATTACTAGTCTATACCTTGATTTTTTAGAATCCAGCAGAGATGTAAACAAACACTTTCATACACAATTACACCATAATCACTTACGTGTTCATAATATCATACACATTATTTAACAAGCCCATGAAACCAACTTTATTTTCACGTTTATACAAGTTTGAAATCAATCTTTGAAACAAATTATTTTAGCAAAATACGTGGACGATGAAAATTTGTGAGACTTGTCAAATTGACTTGACGTTTAAAATCATGTGTTATCTCCATATTGTCTATGACTTGTCTCTGACACATCAGTGCTGTAACCTGTGAGTCATAGACAATAATCTGTAAATTTAATCGATATTATTTTAAGTATTCACTTATTCCGATTACTGATTAATTTTAAATAAAAAATATACGATACTTTGTTTAGTTTTCCAGCGATAACTTCGACAATATTGGAGATAACGTAAAATTATTTTTCGACTTTTAGTGTATACTTTTTCGGAGTCAGTTTAATTTTTAGTCGGTTTTATTTAAACGAAATTATTTTACTTTTTTATGCAATTATGCTTACGTATTGTTCCATTGCTTATTTTCCTACATAAGTAAATAAAATAAAAGAATTTTGTTTCCTGTTCTCGAAACTTTCATAATCAGTTCACATTCAATGTTGCGACTTTGTTGCATATTTTTAGTATTTTGACGATCACCGGGCGATGATACGCAAGTACTACAATAATTTCACTTCGCGATTAACGAGAGGTTTTGTCGCATCACTAGTTCACAGACTAAAAATATTTTTATGTCAGTTGGCCATTTTTGATGACATTTCTGCTGATTTCTAAAAAATTAGACTGTATGTCCGATTATCCGTATTTTCGATTATCCGAATCTACCCCGGTCCCAATTAATTCGGATAATCGGCGTTCTACTGTATTTATTTTTCTAATTTATTCAAAGTAAATAGATTAGGTTTCATGTATTCTTAATTAGAACATAATTATTTTAAAAATTATATTTAGAATTTGTAGTTTTATGTGTCACTATGTGTGTTAGCTTTAACTCAAAATGAATCAAAAAGTATGTATGAAATTTTACAATCAATTTCATGTATTGACAAGCCAATCTTCTGTCCTCTGTATATTATTGCTAATTAATTCTCATTATGGACTACATAATATATAATTTACCAATCTTTATTTTCTGTGTGATACTTAAGTGAGAAGCCACACGGTACCAATCTTTATTTTCTGTGTGATACTTAAGTGAGAAGTCACACGGTGCGGTGTGGTGCCTCAATACGGCACCGTCTCGCTCAATCGAAGTGTGCGGCGCTGGAACGCACCGTCTGGCATATAATTGATTTTTGTCACATCGCTCCGGCGCCGCGCCGCGACCGCCCCGCACCGCGTGGCTTCTCCCTAATAGTTTTTCTAGAAAACCAAATCCTAACTTTGCAGGTGAAGGAATACCCGCACGCCGTGGGCCGCAAGACGGTGCTGATCGCGGCGCTGCAGGCCCGGAACAACGCGCGCATCGTCTTCAGCGGCTCCCTGTTCTTCTTCTCCGACGAAGCCTTCAACTCGCCAGTCTCTAAAGTTCATGTGAGTACATTCTTGTTGGAAGATGGAAGTATTATGATTGATAGGAGATATTTAATGGCCCATGTATTTTGTTGTAATGTCTAGTGTAGTAGTAATTTGATCCTTATTTGGCATTTGAATATCTAGACAGAATGAAGAGACAAACTTTAATTTCAGTGTGGGCAAAACTTGACTAATAGAGAACTGTTTTATGTGCAACAAAGTTTAAATGAATAAGTCCAGCAGTGGACTGTAACGAACTGTCAATGAATGAATGAATAATAATTGAAAAAACAGTATCGTAATAAAATAACCTTGAGTAATAGATACATTAATTAAGTACTTGTTTTTGGAGTAATTTTGCTACTTCCAAGAGTAAATTATACGTTTATTATTGACTATTTCAGAGCGACAAGCTGAAGTCCGACACATCCGGTAACAAGGCGCTGGCGGCGTCTCTGAGCGCGTGGGCCTTCGGCGAGCGCGGCCGCCTGCGCGTGCGCCGCGTGCACCACCAGCGCCCTGGGGACTCGCACTCCTCTGATACCTACACTATCATGGACACCGTCGTAAGTACACCTTACCAATGATGCTCTTGCCTCTGTATACGCCACGCCTTTTTGGGCGCCGTGATCGGGGGACCCACTGACTGCTCTCAAAACAATGTTGAACAGTATCCTGTTAGTAGTAACTGTTGAACGAAATTGCTGAAGTTCTACAATTTTGCAATCACCTTTTTTGGTAGAGGAACAAAGCCCCCTGATTCTTATGTGGTGTATCTCCTGAACTATCTGATAGGTACAAGATAGTCTAGGTGTACTTATGTGTAATTAATTACTCAGTATTCAGAATAAAGTCATGGATGGGGGTTAGACTTAATCAAACATTGGTTTTTAATCCTCAGATCTACAGAATCGAGATCGAAGAGCTCAGGAACGGCAAATGGCAGCCGTTCGAGGCCAACGACGTGCAGTTAGAGTTCGTGCGCATCGACCCGTTCATCCGCGCCACGCTGCAGCGCCGGCCCAGCGGCGCCTACGAGGCCGAGCTGCGCGTGCCCGACGTGTGGGGCGTGTACCAGTTCAAGGTGGACTACGACCGCGTAGGATACACCAGGCTCTACCACTCCACTCAGGTTTGTAGAAAGGCTTATTTAACTATTTTTCTTTGTTTTCGGACCTTAAGACAAAGGCATGAAGTTCAAAATATAGTGGGAACTATATTCCCACTGCCGTATAAACGGTTAACATTCCACCACTTGAAATCTACTGATGTCACAATTAATTACGATAATTATAGATGAACTACACTGAACTGTCCTTTATTTGACACTGACACCCCCTGTCAGCACCCACCGTCAAAAGCGGATCGCTAGTTCCACAGATATGGATTAGAGTAGATACAGCAAGTTGATCGTCAAAGCGTGCCATTCCGATATGTCCAAATGGACATACATGGTTGAGTGATGTTCATGTAATCCGATTACAACAATCGGTTACGATGATTTTACGAGAACAGTAGTACGAACACGGTAGAATGAAGATATTATTTACGGATTGAGAATTGTAATTAACAGCACAAGTAGCAAATAATTAATTAGAATAAAGTAGCAGTAGAAGAAGTATAAAGTAGCATTGTTTTTAATACATATCCTGCTATGTACTCTAACAGTTAAAACCATGGTCCCTGTAATTATGTGGTGCACTCATACCGATCCCAAGGAACCGTACTAACTCATAACAATAAGACACACACTAATCCATGTATTCATGCACTTGACAAATTTATGTCTTGAAACGCTGGTAGGCTAAAAAAAATAACGAGATTTGACGAATTGTAAGAATTACTTTATTTTAAA